TGTCATTCATCTTACCCTCCAGAAGGAAGAGATTTGATTCAACCCAGTGTAAACTTTGGTTTGCAAGAGAATATGGTGCGCCTTTAGACAACACAGGACAAGGATAGCTACTTTGCTTCCTTGCAAACCATTACCCAGTCTCATTTGTGATGGCTTATAAAATCATTTCACTCTCACCTTGCTATCTACGTGGTTCTGTACCCAAAACCTGTCTGCATTTCCTATGGATGATAGCACAAACTCTAAGTCAGTGTTTCAGATGGGAGAGAAGCCTCACGTAAGTGTAGGAAGTAAAGTTAAGTCTTCCCTATGTACTGCTGTTTCCTTGCCATATGTCCTGTGACCTTTGGGTGACAGAATTACAATGGAAGCATAAAAACTGTAATAGAAATTTAAAATACACAATGATAATAATATTATATTAGCATTATAAATTGCAAAAGACCAAAGAAAATGGCCTAGAAATCATATTTTAAGGTTGATTTATTTGTTTTACTTCCTTTAAGTTCTTGGTTTTTAAACATCAGATGTCTTTGTTTGATGCCCTTTTAATGAATCTGTTCTTCTTTGGCACAACAAAATACCTACAAGAAATATTATAAGTAGTGCTATATACTTCTTATGTTACTGATAATATAAGTGTTATTATATAGCAGAGAATTATCAAGGCATTTTTTTAAACTACATGTGCTGTCTCTCATTGTTTTTGTTATTATTAGTCTTCAAAAATATATTCTCATTAACCAACAGATATTTTGGAATACAGTATATTTGAGGAAAATTGAAATCAACTTTGCCACTTACTTTGTTTACATAACGACTTTCAGCTTCTATGGAATCAGTACCAGGATTTTTTTAAAATTAGGGTTCTTTTCTAAATGATCTTTTACCTACAAAATGTATGAAGTGGATACTCTACCACATTTGTCTCACTTTCTCAGTGACTGAAATAATTATGTTTGGAGAAAAATCTAAAATTGATGTCTGAGTATATTACATAACTATCAAATAATATAAAAATCTTACAAACTCCTTTTAAGTACATAGATTTAATTTTTCAAGAATCCTTGTCATTCAATTCTCAGATGGCAAAAGGAAGACTGTCCAAATCTACCATTTATTTAATATAATAGTTGTCTTGCCTCATTTAATTTTGGCTTCTGTGGTCGTATTTGTACTGTGACTGCTGAGTGGATAAATTCCTGTTTAAATACAAAATAAAACCTGCCCTTTTTCTCTGAGTTCTTACCAATTGGTGGTGTGGGCCTCTGTGGGTGGGAAAATTGACTGAGTTGTGCCATTTATAATATCTGCATGCAAACAGCTAAAGATTGTATTTCAAAATACTTAAATATTTTGATAATATTTAAAAATGTTTACCAAGTATGAAAACCAAAGTTTTGATGAACAGCAGATCACTCTTGATAGCATAATCAAAGAGAACCAAAAGTAGCATTTAAAAGAGTTAGGAAAGTTAGGCTTTCAGCTGGGATTTATGTAGCAATCTGCTCTTATCTCTGCAGAATTCACTAGGCTTGCAAAAAATTTTTTGGAAAGTTCCAAATGGATTTTAATGATAAATTGGTCCCAAAAAAAAAAAAAAAAAAAAGGATAAATACATCACTTGCCCTGGTTATTATATGCTGGAGGAAAGAGCTAATGCTCTGGCCATACTACTCAAAAGTTGTGGATAGTCCCCTTCCTGTTCATGATTTAAGAGATGTGCAATGACAATTTGGTCACCTGTGCCAGTATACAGTCTCTAATTGCAAGGGTGGCTTTCTGTAATCGCCCAACCATTAGAAAATTAATGTTGGGTTTATCCAGTCAGAGGAAAAAAATTATATACATATTGGGGAAGGGGGGTGCTTATGTGTGTTGGGGAAGAGGGTTCTCTGTGACCACTGGCACTGACACAGGCACTTTCCAGAGCAGAGAAACAGACTAGGACCATAAATGCATAATTAAGAAAGATAATGGCAGGTTATTTTTTATGTAGCTATGAATTTAACATTAAAATCTTGTATTTTTCACTCAACTTCCTCATGCAATCTTCCCATCTGTCACCTGGGGAATTATTTAAGTTTTGGTTTTGTTTGTTTATTTTTGTTTTCATGAGAAAAGTAGACTGTTGTCCAAGGGTGGGATCAAGAGCAGAATTTTATGGAGTGTTGGAAAACTGGACATGCAGCTTGAGTGAAAATGAGAACTAGATGAATGTCTATAGCTTCAAAAGTGAATGTGAAATGGAAACATGAGTTCCCACGGTGTAATAGTCAAGTCCTTAATATTTCACAACATTGAAATTTCAAAATTAAGCCCTTCAGCATGCAGTCTCAAGGAAGAAGAAACTCCAGACACTCAGTTCCTCCCGGTTGGCCCCTCGTTCAAGGAAGGCAGCTGCATTGGCGTGGATGTGAAGTAAATAGGGAATTTACTTTTTGACTCTGGCTTACCTTCAAAATCTGTCTTGTATCTCTCCCTGCCTGTTGCACTATGACCAACACAGGAGGGGTAAAGTGTAAAGTAGGGTTAGGAACCAAGTACAGAAGAGTCTGTCTGCAGGAGTTGCATTTCCACCTGAAGAACTGACTCCATGTGTGGGGCATTAGATTTATCAGGCTTGTTTGGAGGCCTGCTCATGAGGATTTGGGTCTTGGCAACTGTTGTCTTTTTTCATTCAGTTAAAAATGTCCTGGTTCTTGATCTATCAAGTGATTTTTGATAGAAACCTGCACATTTTATATTGTGATTATCCACATCTCATCGAAACCTTTCCCTTTAATTGATTTTGTTTGACACCCCTCCAGCAAGGGAAGCAAGGGGGACTCATTACTGATAGATGGGGGTAAAGTTCCAAATCCCCGTTTGTCCTGTGTCAATACCTCGTGGTGAGATGGAGTGGGGTGGGGGCTCCTCGTTACTGTTAGACACAGTAGGATTTCAGATTCCCACATGGTTTCCACTGACACCAGAGTGGGGTCGGAGTAGTCTTGTTCCCACTGCGCCATGGTGTGGTACCACCCTGGTATTGGGGGAAGGGAGGAAGAGAGACACCTCGTCACGGTGGGTAGGAGTGGAAGCCCAGGGTCCCTCCCACATGGTCCCACTCAGACTGTAGAGAATGCCTCATTACCAGGCAGGCATGAAGGCATGGCCCCTTAGTCTTCTCTGACGCCACCCTGGCCAGGGGTGTTAGGTCTCCTTGTTAGAGCCAAGTGAGGATGGAAGACTAGTCTCCCCACTTAGCCTTTGCTGGCATTCATGGTCATAGTTTCTTCAGTGGTGTTTGTTTCTAAAAATTTTATGTCCTTTCCAGACTGTCCTTTTCTGCCCCTTTGGCTAGAGAAAGAGGCTTTTTGGGTATGTGCCCATTCTATTTCTGGGTCTCCAGGTTGCTGACTTCAGCTACAAGTCTGCTCTGTACAGAACGAAAAGAAAGCCAAGGGATCTCACTTCCATATTGTTTCCTGGGTTCTGAGGTCCCCAGGCTGAACTACTTTCTGGTTACCTCGCAGAGTCTTCCTATATTTGTTACATGTAACAGCCAGGATCTTTCAGTTGTATTAGGAAGAATAGGAAATCCTATGTCTGCTTCATCTTCCTGGAAGCAGAAGTCCTTGCCAATCCATTTTTGTTTTGTTTTGTCTTTTCCTTCTATATTGTTATTAAAGTTTTGAAGATGGAAGAATTATACAATTAACCACCCCCTCCCCATTCAACACTTAACATTTTGCTTTTTTTTATTTTATTGTAGTTTTATCCATCTGTCCATTTATTAATTTGGATGGACATTAGTACACTTCACCCCTAAACACATCAGCAGTCAATAATTGGACTTCACTAATTATTCATAGTGTTTTTTAAAGGTGACCTTACATAAAGTGGATACATAATTTTAAATACCATTTGATGAGTTTTGTATAATCCATCCTTTAGTGAGACCATTCCTATCCCTTCAAGAGTTCCCTCAAGCCCCTTGTCAGTTAATTCATTTCTCCACCTCATTCTAAGGAATAACTACTGTTCTGGTAATTTTTTTGCCATAAATTTATTTTGCCACTTTTAAAACTTCATATAAATAGAACTACACAATATGTATCTCTTGTGCATGGCTTTCTCCAGCATAATGTTTTAAAGATGCTTTAATGTTCTCTTTCTTTCTCTCTCTCTGTGTGTACACGCGCGCACGTGCACGTGTGCACGTCTTCCTCCCAATTCACTGCACAAATAATGCTATAGATGATCCATTCTGCACTGCTCCCAGTGTTTGCCCATTACCATTTGACGTTTGGTAGCTGGGGTAGTATAAGCCATTGCTATCTTCCTTCTGTTTTGAACACAGTATAGGGCAACTCAAGGTTTTGGGTCTTTTTTCTTATTCATGAAATGGCTAATGCACATCATGACATGTTCTAGAACACACAATACCCACATTATCCACATTTCTTGTCATTAGTGCTAGCTATAAGTATATTTGAAGCTGAAAACTTTCTTGTAATAAAAGTAAAAGTTACTTTTAGCATTGTAAAGATTATAATTTAGCTTCTTGGCACTAAATTTTATTTTGTGAAGGAGAAACCATGGTTTTAGCTACATCATAACTGTAATATTTATTACTGAGAATGCCAAACTAGCCTCTGGAGGAACATCCTATTTCAGGAATACTTAGAATACTCTATTTTCCTGCACAAAATATTGATGTTGCTGCAGATGGATTCAGCTGTGTTTGGCAGATCTTTATTTGTCTGGCCCTACCTATTATGTAAGTCTCTTGCTTTTCTATTTCCCCAAAATGATTACCTAAGGGGACTATAATTTCTGATTGATTGGTTTACTGATTGCTATCGGGAAAGTTCTGCCAGCTGGGAAATAGGACAAAATAAACTTTATGTGATATTTCAATTAAAGTGGGTATGTTTACTGTTAGTAATGCAAGAAAGAGATAATGTGGTTTCAAGCTTTTATGACAACTTTTCTCTTTATTTTCCTTCGTACAGTTGATGGACTGGACAAAGCTTCTATAGCAAACTCAGATGGACCAACGGCAGGTTCCCAAACACCTCCCTTCAAGAGAAAGGGGAAACTGTCCACCATTGGTAAAATCTTTAAGCCATGGAAATGGAGGAAAAAGAAGACCAGTGACAAATTTAGAGAAACTTCAGCAGGTATGACTAGCATCATCTTGTAGAAGAGAACGATTATCAAATTTTTCAAAAGATAACAAAAATGTGCCTTGTAGGTATTTTTTCCCTTAGAAATAATATTCCCCATTTGAAATGCAATTATTTTACTGAAGAATGAAACAACTTAGAGAGTTCTTATCTGCCTTCTTTTTTTACTCACTTGAGCTTCCTAATATATTCTTGTAAATGCACATACGAATGCAACATGTAAGGAGAGGGAGTTTAAAATTAAAAAATTGTCATTGACATTGCAGCTACAGAGAGCCTTTGCAAACTCACCCACACACATAGGTACTCATACCTACCTACCTACCTAGTTTGGGTTAGCCCTAGCCTATTTGTTAATTAAAACATTTTAAAATGTCTTTTTAAATGTATTTGTTCCGTGAGAAAGATTTGAATGGCTGTATGAATGGAAAGAGCTGCCATATTTGTTATTTAAATTGTCATATTTGGTATTTAAAATTTGTGTCCTTAAAACATATATATATGGTATCTGTCCTATGGTAGTTATAACGATGGTTTTGAAATTTTTTGATATTTTAAGTTGTTAAGTCTTAAGGATTATATTAGTAAGTGCCTTTCTTCTGGAGTTGGCTTTAAATTAAACAAGGGTCCTATGCCAGTGGTATTTTGTTTAAGATAGAAAGGTTTGTCTCTTGATAGAGGTTCAGCTTTCTCCATGATAACTGTCCAAACTAATCCCTTCATCAAAATTCTCTACACACCACAGTCTAATGTTGTCAGTGTATGAACAGGGACACAGAGCATATCTTACTGGTCTTTGCTGAGATCAGAGCATGCCTTAGTTCTAGAGCTGTGAAATCAAATAGAAGATAACACACACAGCACAAGGGTATGGAATGGAGATACCAGTACTCCCGAGGCATTTGAAGCTTTTGATTTCTTTAAACATTTAAAATTTTAGAAGAAATAATAAGACATCAAAGACATTTCCAGATAATCCTGGAGGAAGGGTGAGTATAAATGAAAGAAGACTGGTCATGACTTAGTAATCCTTTAAGTTAGGTAATGGGTACATGGGGATTATTATCCTCATCTCTCTACTTACAGATGTTGGAACATTTCCATAATAAAAAGAAAGAAAAAAGAAAGAGACTAGAGTTAGGGGGAAGTACATAACTGGGATATTGACTTCTCATTAGTGCCTCATTGGCTTCCTGGGTCAGGAGGCAGCAGGAAGTGGCTTGTAGTGCTGGTTGAGTGAGGACATCCGGGTTCTAGTAGTAGCGCTCCGCAACCTTGAGCTAAGCAGGCTGAATAGTAAGTTGCTTTCGGCTAAGATTCCTTGTTCTCAACTCCTTCCAGCCCCTGGCTTTGTACCTTTGTTTCCCTGTTCTTCAGTTGTGAGTGGGACCACATTGGCCTCCTAATGCCCCCTCTCATGGTTCAGTGGGAGGATCTGCACTTCCAGTTCCATGCAAACCCAAACTGGGAGTAGAGCTGTGGTCAGTAGCAGTAAGAAGATATTGAGAAGGAAGGATGGCCGCCTCTGTGGTGATCTCTTTTACCCTTCGCCTGAACCTGGGCTACCAACTCCTCTTTCCCTAAAGCAGAAAAACAACAGTGATAAAGATCTCCCCCTTTATTTTTCCTTGTCACCTCTTTTTAATTTTTTTAACAGTAGGGAAACTATAACATATTTCCACCAACTCAGGATATATAATAAAAGTTATTCTGAACAGCTTGAAGTGTTATTTTATGTTCTTTCCTATTTCTTGAGGATACCCTAGCCTTTGAATTCTATTTCCTTCTCATATTCACAAAGGATTTTTACATGTTTAGCTATAAGAAGATTCTGGTGAATACCATATCCCTGTTCCTAAAGACTACCACATTGTATGAAAAACCTGAAAAAGTTATTATATATTGCATTTTTGGCAACAAAATTGCAAAGTAATAGGATAAAAACAAGCCAGGAAGATGTATTCACATTTTTCGTGAATTTGTCAGCTCCATCTGCTTGCATCGGGTCTTTGGAAAGTCTTATTATTATTAATGTTGTACTTGAGTTTTGTAAGACATTATTAACTGTCGCATTGTAAGGTGTTTTGTCATCGCTGATGTTTATGTTTATTTTAAGGCTTAAATTTCTGCTGAGCATTGTGGACTGTATCAGCAAAGACTAAAACAGAGAGGCAGAAATGGTGGGCTAGGTGTTTTCTTCTTATTGAGTAAAAAAAAAATGTCATGTCTAGAAGAAAATGGATGTACTTGGAAATAACCAAGAGAAAGGTGTTTTCTTCTTTAATGAATTATCTCAAGCTGTGAAATCTGGCTGTTTGTGTAGATCCAAGGTCATGTGCTGTCTGGCAAACTATAAATGCCTTAGGCGTGACCACGATATGTTGGTATATGAAAGAAGATGAATTTCTTCTGGGAATAGTAACTCTGCTCTTTTTCCTTCTCTTAAACTTCCGGCTTTATACACAAGTGACCATGACTCTTGCTATGTTTTGCCACAGGGCAATTAATACCAACTGCTCTAATTTGGTTTTCTGCTGGATTTTTAACTGGTGGTAGGTAGGATGTAACACTGATTCAGTAATGCCACAGTAACGAAAGCCTTCATAATCATGTTTACTCTGGTGGGAGTTGAGCAGGGGCCTGTCCTCTGCCTGTTTTGGTGACCTTTGAGTCTACTACATTTGGGAATGTTGCTTCCAAAGTCGAAGACCATCTTGTCCTAGAAGGCAGGTTGGGTCTATGCTCTGAATTCTAGTTCTCTGGCCTTGTTCTAAACTAGAAAGTTCCTTATATCTTCAACCCTGGTCTATCTGGTCCATTGGCTGTTAGGTTCTATGGCTGGATAACAGCCCTCTTTCCGCTTGACTTAGATCAGGCCCCTCTTTCTTCACTTTTCTCATTGCTGTCTTTATCCTGTTTGAGCTCTAGGTTCTATACCTTCCCCTTCGTAAGTGCTCAAAATGTCATTTACCCATAATTCCTACATAATTATTTCTCCCACGATATTTTCTTTGGGGAGACAGGGGCTGAGGTTCCTCTTTCTGGATCTCTAAATATGCTTTCATCTCCCAAACCTAAGAATACAAGCAAACATCCCATCGGAACCCAGTTATTCCTCTAAATTCTACACAGTCTATTTTATTACTGTCAAGACCAAATGTTTTGAAAATCTCCCATGTCTGCTACTTCTACTTCCCTCCATACACCCCACCCCCACCCCACTTCAGCCTGCCCCTGCATCCACCACTCCATAAGTTATTCCAAGCCTGCTAATCCCACAGTTCAGTGTTATGCTCTCAATTTCATCCATTTAATTCTCTACAACCTTTGCCCTTACTAATTAGTCTTTCCTTAACTTACTGAATGACTCTTCCTTGATGTATAAAAAGTGTGGTTATCTTGGTTGTCTGACTTCTCTTTCTCTCTTGCTCTATCTCTTCCCCTTCTCATTTCCCCCTTGAGGGAGGTTTGGCACATGCCTTAGCCCTTCTCTTTATTTGAATGTGCCTTCCTTACCCTTCCTGATAAGGTCTCTCTTCTCTGTACCCACATCTCTCAGACTGGCTCAGATGCCAGCTAAGGCTGGGAACATCTACCCAAGCACCTGATGAGGACTGATGTTAACTCAAAATCCACTCATACTGTCTACCTCTACCCACATAGTCCATGCCAGGCACTGTTCTAGGAGCTGGCTATTCTGTAGCAAAAAAAGTGAGTGAGTTTCCTGGCCTCCTAGGGCTTTCATTTTATGGAGGAAAAAAAGTGCTAATAAATGCTCTGAATCAGCACAGATAGTGAGGGAGGCAGGTGTGGAAAAGTGCTGTGTACAAATAGGTTCCAAACCAAAGCAGGTCTCTTGCCAGCCGCAGCTGTCCTTCCGTTATAGGCACAGCTCTCCTTGGCCTCAAGACTTTGAACCAGGGTGTTCTTTGGCTTTTCTGGCCTCTTAACCATCTTTTGCATTTTATTGGTTTCTACAACTTTTGGTTTATTTCCTGCTAGTGGCTCTTCCAATTACCATGGAAACCCAAGCTGGGAGTAGAACTATGGACAGTAGCATTAAGAAGGGTCTCTATCACCTTTTCCTCCTAATCCCCCATGTCTGGTCCTTATTTGTCTCTGTCTCACTCTTACAGTGTTGCCTCTTTGCTATACTTAGGTGTTAGTTTTACCAGCTGTAGAAAGCTGGTAATATCTAGAAGTGGTATTACTGGAGCCTATGGGATTTCCATTGCTAGTTTAGTTTTTTTTTTTTCTTTTAAAAGATTTATGTATTTATTTATTTATATAAGCACTGGGTACAGTCAGAAGTGGTGGAGGGTGAGAGAATTCACCAGAGCCAGAGAGGGGAACAAAACAGGCAGACTGACAAAATACACTGCTGAGGGGAGCAGCGGACGCGGCAGGAGAGGTCTGCGCGCCATTGGGACCCTCGCCGGCAGCCGGGGATCAAACTGGCACTGCAGAGGCTGCGGGCAGCTTTGCAGCCCAGTGCTCAACCGCTGCGCCACCAGGGGAGACCCTCCATTTCTAGTTTTTTTAGGGAATCTCCACACCATTTTCCATAGAGATTGCAACAATTTACATTCTCACTGACAGGGAAGAGAATCTCTTTTTTCCTAATTTACTGTGACAAAGAGAAGGCACAAAACTAGTCAAGCGTGCTCACAGCCATGTCCCTATATGACTCCTTGTTATATGTCAGAGAATTATTGGGGCTTACATTCTAGTGAGGGTAGGAGGCAGAATGTGAACCCAGTAAGTTAGACAATATTTTAGAAAGCTAAAAGAGAAAAATAAAGAATGGGGAAGTTACACTTCAAAATAGGGTGGTCAGAGAGACTTTACCAGAGAGGGAACATTTGAGCAAAGCCAAAAGGAAGGGAGGAAGAAAGCTCAGAGAAATTCCACTAAGTCATGACAAAAGTCAGAGGTAGATTCATCTCCCGTCTCGTTGGCCAACACCATCCCACTGCAAATATAGTCCGTTATCA